TTATCCAAGACAACCTGCACTTTTGTTCGATCTTAGAATAGGTTCAACAGCATTCCAAACTCCTCTTAAAGTAGCTTTATATAATATTAAACCAAGCCTCAGACGATCTTCTTTTTCTCCCCCTGGTGATGTTATCAAATGTGTTGAAAGTGGAAGATGCTCCACAACTTTACATAATCAAATCTTAATATTTACCAGCATGTCAACTTTACATTGCAGTTTGTTAAAAATCCATCTCATTACTGTTGTAATTTGTTAAAATAATACAAAGAGAGTAAGGAGGATTTTTGGATAATTTCCATGTAGGGAAAGTTGTGACAAATTGGATGAAAAAAATTTACATTAAACAAACTAAAAGTGCATAGAACCAAAACCTAAAATCAATAAAAATGGTCACACAGATATCCAAATCAATTAAACAAAATTGGAGAACATAATAAATAAGTCAAAACTGTAAATAAATAGCGAACACATTGCTTTGAACCTTTTCCAATAGTGAACACATTGTCCACACGGGTAGCAAACTCGTGCCCAAGAGCATCCTGGATGTGGATAGTTTCAAAGCTTCCCTTGTGCTTCTCACGGTTCTTGATCACTCCAACACGTCGCCTGTTCCTTCCATCGGTCACCATCACAACATTGCCAACATCAAACTTGATGAAATCAACAATTTTGTTCGACTCGAGGTCGAGTTTGATCATGTCATTTCCCTTGATGAATGGGTCTGGATAGCGAATTGTCTTTCCATCATAGGTGTTGAGATACGGAATGCCTTTCTTCCTAAACTGGACAGATCGAACTTTGCAAAGCTTAAATTGCAGAACCACAAACTTAATGGATGATTGGAGACTTGGAGTTGGCAAGTTAAAAGGAAAAATGGATTATTGAAGATTCAATGGCGGTGGAGGGTTGAGCTTCTTGAGGGAGAGCGAGAGAGAGAGAGAAAAAAAATTAGGGCATATGCTTTTGAAGTCTGAATGCTATTGTGTAAAGAATTATGGGTTTTGTTCTTTTTTTTTTTTTAAATAGGTGGGTCGGGTTGGGAGGTTTGTATTGGGTTTGATGGGTTAACCCATAACCTGACCCGACCCGTTCAGCTTAGAAACAATCCGAACCCACCAAAAAATCACAAAAAATCAACCCAACCCAGTCGGGTGGGGTCGGGTCCGTCGGGTTTTTGCCCACTTCTAAGTGTAAGCACAAGTATCTTATAATAGGGTTTTAGGGTGCTGATGACCTAATGTTATTACAGTTTAGAATGTTGATTGATGAATATTACTAGTTTTATATTAGTCAACATCCATTCATTATGTTAATAATGGTTGCTATGTAAAGAAGAAGGGAATGATATCTATTCAATATGTTTAATGCACACAATATGATTCATAAATGAAATGAATGTTTAACTATCTTCTTCCAACTACACATAATAAATTAAAATCTTGAAGGATGCTACCCATTGAAATGAATTGAAATACCTGCGTTTATATTACAATAGTTGATTTGTGACGCTACGCTGGATATTTTTATGATTATCGTATAGTAAAACAAAACCTCCTATAATATAGTTGAAGTTGTACAGTATTGTAATGAAAAAAATATGGTATTCTACCTACAACTTATCCGTAACCTACGAAATAGTTTATCACATACAACTTATATGACATATGGAATCTACATAAAGCGATAAACATATTTCTGACCATGATATATGAATAATACTATAACTCACATAAGTTTATAAACAACATTAAAGTTTAGTAGCCAAAAAATACATCACCAACTGTCTGGCATTTCATTCGTTCGTCCAACACTAACATGGTAACGATTGAACCCATGGGTAATCGGCAATTTGGAATACCCATTATTGGTGAATATTCAATACTTGTTATCGAGCGCATAGTCGTACGCTAATTAGATGAAGCCATCATTAAACTAAATATACTGGATTATAGATTGATGTCTTCCAAATCTGTGTGCTAAACCTTCCTTGAGTTGTAATGATCTACTACTTCGAATGGGGTTTTATATTCTTGAACAAATAATGCAATTATCAACAACAATGAATGATAAAGATCATTTCTTGAAATAGAGATTATGGATTTCATGGTATGGGTGTTGAAGGTGAATGATTTATGGGATGATTTCGGATTTTTTTAGATTGTATGATTTGGAAATTTTTGATTTTTTTCGAATATCATTCTATGTGATTTAGGATATTCTAAGATTAGGGTTGAAATTTGGGGATTTTAGTCAGTTATCTTGAAATTTACTAAGGCTTGTTTGTCGGAGTAATATTTACTGCCAGTATAAACAATTTAATGTGTATGTGTAGTTTTTGTGTTTCACCTTTTGCTCTAAAAATTGCAGTAAAAAAAGAATAAAAAAATGGTATAAAATGAATGTGGAATTTATTAAAGGAATTACATGGAATTTCCACAATATTATTTTCTTTCATTT